TCAAACCAGCAACCATTCACCTCGTTCTAAGTGTTGCGGTATCTCACAACTCGTCTATACAAAAATTTGATGTTAATCATGATTTCTTGCAGGGACATCTAACCGATGAAGTCTTCATGATGCAACCTCCAGGATTTGTAGACAAGGATCATCCCACAGCTGTTTGAAAATTAAGAAAAGCAGTCTACGGTTTAAAACAAACCCAAGGGCTTGGTACAATGAGCTTAAAACTTATCTTCTTACCTATGGTTTCAGGAACTCCTATGCCGATGCAAGTCACTTCATCTACAACAAAAATGGTGTTCTGATGTAAATGCTAGTCTATGTTGATGACATCATCTTAACCGAAAACAACACAGATCAAATATAGAGATTTGTTCAATCTTTTTCTCAGGGTTTTTCACTAATAGATCTGGCAATTTATCATATTTCCTTGGTATAGAGGCGACTCATACAACTACTGGCTTATTACTTACACAAAAACGTTACATAGCAGATATGCTACATCGGACAAACATGAAAAATTCAAAGACAGTAGCCACACCTATGTGTTCCACCGAACATCTCACACTCACTTCTGGCCGCCCACTAGACGATCCTAAACAATTTCGAGCAGTTGTTGGTAGTCTCCAATACTTGTCTCTAACCAGACCAAACATCTCATTCGCTGTCAACCGAATGTCTCAGTACATGCATCAGCCTACAGATGAGCATTGGACAACAGTCAAAAGAATATTAAGATATCTATCTGCTACCATCTCTCATGGCGTATTTCTCTCGCGACACAACAGTCCTACTCTTCATGCCTTCACGGATGCCGACTGGGCTGGAAACAAGGACGATTTCACCTCTACAGGAGCTTACATTGTATAGTATGGCATACATCCTATTGCATGGTCATCAAAGAAGCAAACTGGTGTTGCAAGGTCTTCCACGGAAGCAGAATATCGCTCTATTGCTTCAACTGTGGCAGATCTGTTGGTTAATCTCACTTCTCACTGAACTAGTACTTTGAAGCAATGTCAAGCCATCCATATATTGTGATAATATTGGAGCCACATATCTCGCTGCCAACCCGGTTTTCCACTAAAGGATGAAGCATTTGGCTCTTGACTATCATTTCGTACGTAATCATGTTCAGTTGGGTCATCTCTGCATCTCACATGTAACGTCTGCGGATCAGCTCACCGACGCTCTCACTAAGCCACTTCCACGCTCACGCTTTACCACATTATGCAGCAAGGTTGGACTCACCAATTGCGGTCCATCTTGAGGGGGCATATTATATATAGAAAGTATACAAATCACCAACGTTCATATTTTCTTCATTATGTCGTATATACTAACTTCATATCATGTACTTTTTAGACTATATATTCAGCGCTTTCCTCTGTTAATAATAACATACAATTTCAATACCTAATAATAAATAGGGTTAGATAGAAATCAATGTTTAGCGTGATTAATGAGTTATATAAATCTCAAATCTGTTTGGTTGGTTGTGTTGAGTGCTTGTCTTTAAAACGCAAATGCTCTTCTTTGTGTCTGTTTTTAATCCATATTAATCCTCTTTAATCCTCTCTTCCCTGTCTCTCTTCTTAATCCTTATTCCACTATGGATTTGAATCAATTTAGCCAGACGTCTAAGTTCGTTGAACTACGCAATAGTCAACAAGAAATGATCTTTTGTTTTCCTGAATATAATGTCCAACTATCTTCATCTCAACTCCATGTTTTTGGGAGTCAAGGGACTGAAGCTTCAAACTATGTTGAAGATACTCCAGCAGAGCGTAGAGAAAAGAGGTTATGGACGCCAGTTGATGATGTTGTGCTCATTAGCGCTTGGCTAAACACAAGAAAAGATCTGGTTGCCAGCAATGAGCAACCGTCTCGTACCTTCTGGAAAAGGATTGCAGCATACTTTGCTGCAAGTCCTAAGGTAGCAGGGTGTGAACAGAGGGAGGCGGGTAACTGTAAGCAGCGTTGGCAGAAAATAAACGACCAAGTCAACAAGTTTTGTGGGTCTTATGAAGCTGCAACTAGAGCGAAAAGCAGTGGCCAAAATTAGAATGATATTTTCAAAAGTGCGCATAAGATCTTCTTCAACAACCACAAACAAAAAAAATCATATTAGAATACGCTTTTTCGACAGAGGAAGTGTGAGGATGGTTCACAGTCTTCAACCTCTAACACAACTGAAACAAAGGGTGAGGATGACCGTCCCCCTGGTGTCAAGGCAGCTAAGCGTAAGAAGACGAAGGGAGAGGGGAAGACACTGATAGATTTTCAGAGTATGTGGGATATTAAAAAGCAGGATTTGGCCATGAAAGAAAGGCTTCAGAAGATAACTCTTCTCGATGGTCTGATTGCAAAAAAAGAACTCTTAGATGAGTATGAAGAAGCTCTAATTAAGAAACTAATCAATGATTTGATGTTCTAATGTTTCATGTTGCTTGTTGCTGAAGTTTAATGTTTTAATGTTTGAATTATTTCTCTGTTGTTTTAATGTTTGAATTATGTCTCTGTTGTTGCTTGTTGTTGAAGTTTATGTGCTTCTTATTATGTTTAATATAAAAGGTTGTTTCTTCTACCTTTTCGCTTATGCTTCTTCTTCTGTTTGTTTAACATTCATAAATTTAATAAAGTATCTTTGCGCTTAAATGATCATGAAAAATATTGTGTGTGCTTGTGCTTTCGTCTTCATAAAAATGGATGTTAAATAATTGGTGTCACGGACGCTATGTAGGGTAATGGACCTTCTGTCACTTTTCTATGTAAATATGGTGTCACGGACTCTCTGATCTTAGTTCTTGTCATTATTTTGCAGGTCAAATAAGAGTTGGAAAGTGGAAGACTCACGGACAAGCTCAGTGTTTTGTTGTATGCAGTGTCACACTATCTTGTCTTGTAGTCTGTATGCAGTGTCATTAGTATGTATTTTGTAAAGAGAAGTGTCACAGACTAGCCAAACATGTATGCAGCAGAGACTACCAAACAAAAGCATTGTTATATTGTCTTTTTTTTTTTATTTACACATTGTATTGTTGTCTAAAGAAAGGTCACGAATCCTTTTGTTTGTGCTTCATCACTTTGTCTATATAAAGATTATTTATCAACTTCTCATCTATCTTCATATCTTCTTCTTCTATTTTCATATATCCTTCTCAAAATATAAACGTAAACTTGTCTCTCTCTTTTTTTAAACAATTTTATCATTATCACCTTTTTCTATCTTCATTTTCCTTCTCAAAATCTCAAAATATAATTGTAATCAAGTATCTCTCTTTCTCAAAATATAAAAAAACAGGTGATAAGAAAACAATTCTCATCTAATGGCTTCTTCTTCTCCAAACACTTTAGAGATATCATTTGATGAGCTCTTTGATCAACATTTTGATCAAGCCTTTGAGAATTTTTCCATTCATGGTGATCAAGAAGAACGAAGGATAAAGAAAAAAACGAGTTTAAATCAAAAGAAATCGTGAAAAGGGCAATGTATGTTTATGGAATGATTATTTAGGTGAAACTCCAACGTATCCTGATAATCTATTCCGACGACGTTTTAGAATGAACAAGCCATTGTTCATGCATATTGTTGATCGACTCTCCAATGAAGTTGAATTTTTTTGACAAAAGAAAAATTGTCTCGGAATTAGTCTCTCTCCTCTTCAAAAGTGTATGGCTGCCATTCGTTGCTTGGCATATGGTACTGTGGCTGATATAGTTGACGAATACCTCCGACTCAGTGCAACTAGAACTCGGGCATGTTTGGAAAATTTTGTGGAAGGAATAATATATTTATTCGGCGATGAGTACCTAAGAAGACCAACACAGCTGGTCTTCAACGTCTACTTGATATTGGTGAGCATCGTGGATTTCCCGGGATGATAGGAAGCATCGATTGTATGCATTGGGAGTGGAAGAATTGTCCCACCGCTTGGAAAGGTCAATATTCACGTGCTTCGGGAAAACCCACCACCGTTTTAGAGGCAGTTGTTTTGTATGATCTATGGATATGACATGCGTTTTTTGGATCTCCAGGTACCTTCAAGGATATTAATGTTCTTGATTGTTCACCTGTTTTGATGACATTATAAAAGGTCAAGTTCCCTAAGTCATATTCTCTGTCAGTAGAAGATAGTATCATTTAGCCTAGTATCTCACTGATGGTATTTGTCCAAAATGGGAAACTTTTATCCTACCAATTCCAATACCACAAGGTCTGAAAGCGGTTTTATTTGCTCAACATCAAGAAGCTATCCGAAAAGATGTCGAGCGTGTTTTTGGAGTCTTGCAAGCTCGCTTTGCCATTGTTAAAAACCCGACACTTTTTTGGGATAAAGTCAAAATTAGGAAGATTATGAGAGCATGTATCATACTCCATAGTATGATTATTGTAGAAGACGAACGAGATGGATACACTCAATATGATGTTTCAGAGTTCCAACAAGGAGAAAACAACGCAAGTTTCCATGTCGTTCTCACGTATTCTACAGACCTTTCTACAAATATCGCTAATATGATGGGTGCTCGAATTAAAATTCGTGATAAATAAATGCATCAACAACTGAAAGCTGATTTGGTTGAACATATATGGCGTAAATTCGGACGTGATGAAGACAACAACTGAGCTCTGATATTTTTTCAAATTATTCTCATTTATTTTACTAATATTTATTTTAATGTTTTTTAATTTATGTTTTAAATGTTGTTTTAATATGTTTTATTTAATAAATAAATTTTATCTTTAATAAAATAAATTATTATTATTTTTTAAATCCCAAATTAAAAACCTACCTTTGGAACCATTAAAACGAAAAGTTTCTTAACAAAAGTTCTTAAGCTAAATCTATTATTTAAAAAATAACTAAAAACCCATTAAGGGATCTAGGATTAATCTTGCTCTAAGCAGATTTATCACGTGCATGATTCATTAATTTAACTACACACCGGTCTACAGGTTATAATGCTTCATACTGAATGAACATAGACACAAAACTATGAAAGATACATCACCGAAACTAAGTATAAATGTCTCAAGTACCTACATGATCAAATATCAAACTTGCCTTACTTCACCTCTGTCGAAATATCTCAGCTTCCGGTTAGCGTACGTGGTGGAGATGGCGGCGGCTAATGGATTGGTGGTCCAGAAAACAGAGGAGGAGTGGCGTGCGATCCTTTCTCCTGAACAATTTAGGATTCTCCGTCAAAAAGGCACTGAGTAAGTTGTTTTTTCGTTATTTCTGTATATCCAACAGATTAGTATATTCAACATGTTAATTAGGCTGCAAGGCAACCATATAAAGAGTATTTAAGTGATCTTCTCAACGTTCTTGGCGTTTTGGTCAAAATGTTTTTTGTGTTCTTTCTTTTATGTTTGAATCGTATATCTCAAGAATTCTTTGTTTCTCAATTAATAGCTTCAACAAGGTAATTAATCTGCAAGGCAAACATATAAAGAATCTTTAAAGGATTTTTCACGTTTTGGTGAACATGTTTCAGAATAGCAGGAACTGGAGAATATGACAAGTTCTTCGAAGATGGAATTTTCAGCTGTGTCGGATGCAAAACTCCCCTCTATAAATCTACCACAAAGTTCGACTCCGGATGTGGCTGGCCAGCTTTCTTTGAAGGATTCCCTGGTGCCATTAACCGGACGGTATTGTTTCTCTTTATATGTTTTTTTTGGTTTAATTTCATGAGTTTAATTAATAACTGAAAACTCTTTTCTGTGTTTCTTGATTTGATTCTACGTTTATTTATCGTCAGCCTGATCCAGATGGGAGAAGAACAGAGATCACTTGTGCAGTATGCGACGGGCATTTAGGCCATGTTTTTAAAGGAGAAGGTTATGGTACTCCTACCGATGAACGCCACTGCGTTAACAGCGTCTCGATCAACTTCAACCCGCAAAAACCACCTGAGGAGGCTGAGGAATTGAGAATTGATCATAAAATATAGTCAAGCAGATTGATTGTGTTTGCTCAAGCGAAAGAATTCAGAATAATAATGTTGGATCATCTTTGTCAAAAGAATATTAATATTGGATCTTTCCTCTTACTATATATGATGTTTAAAGCTAATCATTTTAATATTAAAAATAAATATAATAAAAACAAAAGAAAGAATATAAACGCTACATAGGCAAGATATTTAAAAAATAATTATTAAATTCCTGATCAAATTTGTCATTTTATAATTGATTCAACTATTTTGGTTAGACTGTATAAAAATGTAATTGTATGATTTAGTTTGTAATTTTTGTTGTTGTAGCTATATGTTATTTTGTTGTAGTAAAACATTATAATTTCTATGGCATTTTAATAGTTGATTGAGGGAAAAAAGTAAAATATGAACAAAAAGAACTATGGTTGTAGATGATGTAACAATGTTTTAACTTTAATAATAAAAATACATCATGATTGGTTAGTATTAGTGCTTTAAAAATAAATAAAGCTAAAGTCATAACTTAAAGTTCAACCAATCATTTCCATTATACTAAAACACAACAGAAATAAAAAGAAATTATAACTACAAAACATAGAATGTGATTTTAGTTGCTTTATCTCTTTACTTTAGTTTTATTTGTTTTTAAAACACTAAACTATATCAAGCATGTTGTAACTTTACTTTTAGAAGTTAAAACTTACATCATTTTTTATTAATTTAAACCAATCATGCTTTACCTTTAGTTTTAAATATACAAAGAATAAAAATAAACAAAATTTATTTCTTATGTATTTTAAGCAAAAAACCTACATCTTTCTTTTGTATGTTGTAGAATCAGTAAAATGAAAAAAAATTATCTAGAATATCAAATAAATTAGATAATCATAATCAAACACATCCATAGATATTTTAATTTAATTTTGGGTGTTTTTAAAATTATTAAAATATTTAAACAACATAAATACTATTTACATATCACATTTAAAATAACAGTAAGCTTTGATAATTTTTTTAAAAAATATTAATATAAGTTATTTTAATTGATAAAATAATTATTTTATATATATATATATATATCACATATTTTACATACTTTATTTTAATATATCTACAACATATATAGGTTATAACTATAACAAATTTAACTATAGTAAAAACTTATGTGAAAAATATCTACAGTAACAATTTTACATCTACAACTAATTTAGCTACATCTAAACTCTTACAGTTAAAGTATTACAGCTACAACCAAACCATTTATCACCATAATATTAAAAACTAAAAAAACACATATAGTGGTTGAAAATAAAGAAAAATATTAGTAAGAAACGAAAATATGGAATTTATTAATTCGAACGAACCAAAACATAGTTTTACGATTTGGTATAAACTTACCTAATCAGTTAAACCGGTAGAACCCCTAAGAGGTTCTCTTATACTTTGCGCTAATTATTCACTTCATCAGTTCACTTGATCTTATCTATATTTTTTAGAACTTTAACCAATAAGGCCTTATCTTCTTCTTTCCAACATGTAAGTAGAATGGATGGTGATAGGAGAAGGCGGACTAGGTAAATTTGCTAGAAGTCATAATATGCCATACAATTTATTTTCTTTTCTCTTTTATTTATATAAGATGGTGATATAGTGCCAGACGGATTTAAGATTGCTAAGCAATTTAAATTTGAAGACATTACATTATATTTCATCTTGTGATCATATGATATGAGTCTATTTGAATACCTATATATATCATATTTTGGGGAGATTATTCTGAACATTTCCTGAACCTAGGACATCCTCAATGTTAAAACACAAAATGCCATACAGTATCACTTGGAAAATTTGTTACTTTCTTTTTACATTTTGTTACTTTACTACAATAAAAATCTTTTCCCTGTAAAAAATATCACGAAGGTATATAATCTTTATGATATATCAATGTAACTTAGTGTTAACACAGATATAAAACTCATCTTAACTGGTATTTTAATATTATAATCTGTATCTAAAAGCTGGAAGCACTTTCACAAAAATCTCTTGAAAAAATTCAGGGTGACAAAAACAAAAAATGTAATGAACGTATGGTTATCTAAGAAAAATAAAACTATGGTTTATTTATTATTTCTGCTCTAAACTAGTAAAATGGTATGTGCTTAAATTACGAAAGCCAAAATACTTTGGAAGATACTCTGTTACTCAGGTTTTTTGTTAAAACATACTCTATTACAGTTTGTTGAGGCACTGAAGAGTTTTTTTTGTCAACAACTTACCCAGTGAAGAGATTATAGAGCACAACACACCAGATATTTAAATTAAAGTACACAGGTAATCTTTGAGAAAAAAATAGTTGTACAAATAAAACTTCGAAAAAATCACATGCAACAACTTCAAATCAAATGTTTGAACTGTGAACCCCATAGAATTAGTAGGAAAAAGGACAAAATCTGTAAGGTCATGAACAAAAAGAGTAAATAGATTACCACAAACAAGTCCAGTTCCATAATGCGTTCTGATGTTACCAAATAAAGTTTACATGCAAAATAAACTTAATATTTTTATGATAGTTAAACGCAATTTAGGTGTTTTAGAACACTACAATTGATACTCTCTCAAAATATTTACCTAGTAAAAAAGGAAAATGGAGAAAAGGAATAGGAATTTTACTTGAGATACTAAAAATGTGATTTAAATAATTTTTATTATAATAACACAAGTTTGACGTTTTATTCATCTGAGATTTTTGAGTTTGAAATACTTTTAGAACCTTTTTGATGTAGACTGAATTTCTTTCTGGTTATATCAATTATGAAATGGTCATAGACGAATTGAATAAGCTGAATAGGGAGTTCAATAGAAACTAATGTTACTAATATATGGTCTTGCCACAAAAAGAGCTTACAAAACAATAAAGAAACATACACTTGGTGGGTAAAACACATAAAGAGAGGACACCCAAAAGTGTTCCCAAACAGTTATATAGCAAAACGCTGAACAGACGAACTTAGAAAAGGTAAATAAAAAGGACCGTGGATTTCCATCAGAAGTCAATACCCGAACCTCTTCACCCATTCTTTTCTCATCATCCTTGAGATAAAGATTTAAACGTTAAAGGTGCGTTCTTGACTTCATTTGGATTTTAAAACATACAGAAACTAGAAATAAAACATTAAGGCATAAACGCTATTTTCTCCTTTCCTTATTACTTCTGCAGACAAAAGAAGGAACACAAACCGCATTAGTCCAAACATATCGACGCAAACGCCAAAACAAATTTGCATTTGACGTTTGCGTTTGCAACTTAGAAAAATGTTTCATTTAGAGCCACAGAAAATGGGCAAAATATTAACAACCCTAAATGTTTATGTTATACCTGGACGAACTATGGTCCTCCTCCACCTTGGTCACAAGCAACGGCGGCTTTAATCCTCTCCACCGTACACTTGATCAGACTATTAACCGTAGCCACAGAGCCAAGAGAGAGTTTAGCTGTAGGAACAGAGTCAACAAGTATCTGAAACGCAACGGTTAATAGTGAACCACAACTCCCAGAAGAAGAAACCACTTCTTGATTCCCATCTCCTACTGAGCCATCCGGTAATATAGCGAATCCAGACGGTAACAACGCCACGTAATCAGGATCTCCTCCGCTTAGAACAACGTTCATCGCCACTATATCCACCGGCGCATATATCACGTACGATCCAGATGCGTCCGTGCAGCTCTCTTGTAGTATCAACATGTTGCTCTGGCTCGAGTTTCCGCTCTGTTATAACCAAAACCATTTTGATTCCGACATCGAAAACAATAACTTGATATTACAGACAAGAATCTTACGTTGACTCGGAGCAAGGAGACGCAATTTCCAGGTTCGCGACCATTTGCTATATGCGCCATTTCTTGAACCATTCCTCCATTTGAGAGAATGTCCCACTACAAGAAAATTTTCGAAAACAAGAAATGACTTTTTATATCCTTGCAATATGTGAAAAAAAAATGAAAGTTTTTGTGTCAACAATGTCTTGATTTGCTAACTAATTTATCTGCAGATTCTGCACATTAACTAAGCAAGCTAATACGTTGGTGAATCTATTATAATGGTTGTCTAATTGTTTGCAAAATGTATGTACTGACTAAGCATAAATAAAAGTTATGTATGGCAAAAAAAGAGTGTTACCTTTTTTTTTTAAAATGTTACCTTTAAAACACCATAATATAAAATTTCCACTTAATTTGAAAATGATGACATATTTTCAAATACTAATCAAACATTTTCATGTTTTGAAAAGATAATTTTTTTATTAAATTATTTTAAAAAGATAAAAATGAGAGTTTTATGTATTTTTGTAAATTAGTAATAATAAATTATATATTCAAAGTTAAATTTATTGAATTATTATAAGTTTAGGTTATTAAAAATTATTAATCACATAAATTATATATTTCTTACTATATTTTATTTTTAATGAATGAAAGCTAAAAAAACTATTAATTTTAAACAGAGGAGATGTGTGATTTAAATTTCTAAACTGGTTTTAGAATTTAACTCGGATCACCGGTTCCATTGTTATTAACGTAAACGGGATTCAATTAGAAGAACAATTCCAATAGGACCGACCGGTCCAATCTGTTTTTCATTTACCTCGCTTCTTGAGTTTTCGTCGCGGAGGAAATCGAAGACCCGTTTGGGAGCTACTGGGATCCAGAACGATGTCGCTGCGCTAAGAACGATACCGGGAGGTCTTCCCGGATCATCCATGCTCTTTCGGGTCATGACTCGAACATCGTCGGATCCTGTTGACGACATTGTCGTCCACGCGTGTGCAGTCGACGCGCCAACTCCGCTGCAAAAGCTCATAACCATCCTTTCCGCTAGCTTCAACATGCTCTTCCTCCCTTCAGCACTCGTTATCACTGCAATCATAATTACCACAAAGTTAAAGGACCTAATAACAAAATTGCTGCTGAATTAAAGGCGCTGATATAAATTTGAAAACTTTGCAGTTCAGCCCCCAACTTATTCATAATGACCACAAAACTAAAGGACCTGTGTGTGTAATTTATAAACTTTTTAAATCAGCCAGCCACATCGAATTCATAATTACCACCAATTTAAGGACCTGATGAGTAAATTTAACAACTTCTCAATTCAGCCCAAACACCTTCACAACTACAAAAATAGACCATCTAAATACGTACCCGAAAGATCACTAGCCGGGATGTTGCTAGCCATCGAACTCGCGAGCCGCTCGCACTGGCGTTCGAGTGTAGACACCCAACGTCTCGCTCCAAAAGCTAAACCGGAATGAACCAACGGTTTATACATAGTGTGAACCGATCTATCATCCACCTCCATATGTTCTACCCATGTAACCTTCAAACAACAAAAAAAACAATCACCCCACAACTTCTCTAAATTTCAAACTTTCACCCTTTTTTTTTTGCAAACTTTCACCTTGAATTTCACAAACACTCAAAATAAACCCTTCATATCTTCTACTTTACCTTAGAATAACCATTAGGCAGTTCTTGAATCAGACAACCTGAAGGCCTTCTTCTGGTTCTTGAGATTGGGTTCGGTCTAAGGCTGTCCAAAGAGACATCAACCACAGCCCAAGAACCATCGCTATGTTGCTTACAGTATCTCACAAAGTAGTTCTCACGCGTTGAGACTAGCGGCGATGGAACTTGAAACTCAGCTGTCATCTTTACGTAGAAAAAAAAATACAAACCGAACATTAATAGAAGTTTAAAAACTGCTTACAACATTCTTCAGTTTAATTTCTTGAGAAGCAAGTAATCAACTTAATAGATTAATAAACATACCACTTGCAAAGCACCATTGTAGTTCCCAGCAACTCCAGTGGAAAGAACTTCAAGCGTCAAGGCTCTTGACACAATCCCAGAGAAAACACAAGACCATTGATTCTTATTCCCACATAAAAAAACAAGACAGAAGTAACATATTAGGTAACTAGGGCTTAATTAAAAAGTTAGTTACTAAAACTTGGTGATCAAGAAATAATTAAATTTAATTAATTACCACATCCATGAGAATCTCAACCAGATTTATGTGATTCATTATAACAACAGCTGAATCTCTTGACGCCTCTGATCTCAAACCTAATGGTTTTGGTCCGATTCCTCTTGGAAACGTTCTGAAATACTCTTCCTCGTTGAGAACTTCAATGGAGTTATCAGTTGAAACCCATAAAGGTTCCCCCACTTGAGCCATTCTCACGAGTTCCTCCATAGCTGCAACCGCTAGCTCTATGATCATAGGCTTGTCTGACTCAGAAGGGATTGAAACTGACCTCAAAATGTCACCTGTTCCATACATTTCCCCTACAAAACCTGCCTGGTTCCCAAAGTTGCCAACTTCAAGTTCAAGGGAACGAGAAGGCGCGTGGGTTGCTAGTGGAGCAAATGACGATCCTATTGGCTTCCCAACGTATTTTGCAGCAATCGCAGAGATCCTATCAATCTGTAGGTCAATCAAGTGGTAACAGAATCAGATTATTCCTATTCAACTTTAAGTCTTATATATATATATGTGTGTGTGTGTGTGTTACCTCTTCGCGGAGGCGAGCATTTTCAATCCTGAGATGCTGTTCGTCGAATGACATTTCTCCTATAGCAGCTGGACCGCCACAGTTAGGGCATGTAGCATTGCTTAGTGCCTCTTTGTATCTATTGTTCTCTGCTCTGAGCTTGTCATTGTCTGACTTAAGAATCTGGTTATCATGCCTCTCATGTTGTGCCTATATATTTTTATACACAGTTAAATTGTGAGAATTACAACTTCCTTTAATCGTTCATTGTCATGAAAATGCTTAACTATTTATATAATTAAAATATATAATTAATATATATTGTCAAAAAAGAAGATATACGTCAATGGTTACATATACCTTCATTTGTGTGCGTTTGTTTTGGAACCAGAACTTGATTTGAAGAGGTTCTAAACCGAGATCGCGGCTCAACTCTTTCCGTTGCTTATCATCTGGATGAGGGCATTCTTTAAAGAACCTGTAAAATCCGAAAAAACTTTTTAAATGGAATTTTGAAAATGTTTTCAAGCTATTTTTATATGACCTATAGAGCTTGGGTAGTGTTCTTACGATTCGAGCTCTTGAATTTGACGTTGCGTGTGGCGATGGTAACGCTTCTTTTTGTTGGGACGTTGGTTAGGATCTTGAAGCTCTTCACCGGAAGGATTCTCTGTGGTGACTTCGGTGCCTGACTTGGTCTCGAAATCATCTTCACGGCTTCCGGTGATTCCAAAGTCGTTGTCGGAAGTACTCTTTGTGGTCATCTCGAACATATGATGGCTCTCAAACATGTTTGGATGATACATTGTGATGATGATTTGATTGTACGATACTAATCAAAAAATGAATTAGTTGTGAACTTTGGTTTCCTTCAAATCTTCAAGGTTGTGATCATAAACGTTTCTTTATATGATTTTCTACTCCAGGAGTATATCTTCCACTGCCCAAATCAAAATAGTTAAAGATTTTATTTGAAATGTTCGCATATATGTAAATGGAATGAAGAAGAAGATCATTATCGAAATGGAAGAAAATAATGATGTCAAGGAAAAATAATTTCGAGGTGTTATGAAACTCAAGTTAGCTTTAATATATAGTGATCATTTCAAAATTAAACGTTAATCTAACAATAAAATATGGGGGTTCCTCCCTTTTTGTTATATATAAACTTTCTACATTACGAAAAAAAATCACTTATAAATATAAAAAGTCTTACTTTATATTACATAACATGTAAAGATAAACTATATGAGCATTATCTTAATAGTACAAAAGTTAGTCATAAATAAAAGCAAACATTTAGATAACTATATAAATATATCTACATGCAAAATTGATCTAGGGAGAAGTTAACACCCATATGAGATGTTAACACCTTCGCGTCAAGCTAGATCGAGATGAATGATAATATTCGACGACACGGAGGGCGGAGCCACAACCATTAACGCATAGGTCTACACATATGTGTATCTACTTTATAATAAAACATATTAATAAACTAGCTATAATCATGATAATTGTCTGACATATTAATTGTAGAAAACAGGATATAAATAAGAGGAAACATTTGGATATATCGACCGTATATTATATTCTTAAGAAGAAAATTATGGAGAAAAACATATTAAGATGAAATGATCTATATTACATATACACATTCATATATATATATAACAGTTCATATATGCGAGTGTATCTGTCTCCTAGTGTCTGCAAATAAAGAAACAAAGAAAACCAATCATTGAAAGTAAAAAGACTTTTCAAAAACATCAGATCTACCGGACAGATCTGATGACGGTGAAGGAAGAAGAGAAAGAGAGCTATGTTCTTTAAGAAACCCTAATTTGGGGTAAGTCAAAATGAAAACAAAAAAAAAACTGGATAACTTAAATACTTACTTAATTCGATCTGATCTTCTGAGTTCTTTGGAAGTTTTTGAAACCCTATAAAGAAAGATTTCCTTATAGTTTTTTTTTTCTTTTTCCTTTTGGTTGGTGGAAGTTTTGGGTTCGAGTTAAATGAGTTTCTCTCTCAAAAGCTAGTGAGAGAGAGAGTATAAGTTTTTAATCTCTCAATTGAATTTATTAAAGAATTAGTTTGACCTTGGTCTTTGTGCAATAAAAGGAACCGTTTTCAGTAAAGATACTAAAACTAATAAGATAGGCTAAACTTAATTAACTAAATGTGTAGAGATACAGATCTAGGGTTCTATAATAAAATACAGTGTATATTTTGTCTATAGGGTTAATTAAAGCGTTGACAATAAGTCAATGGTCTTTTTTGGTTACACAACCACTAAGTAGATTTTGTCAAACCCCTTTGGAACTTGTAACTCCAAGAAATTTTTTTAGTAAACTCCAAGAAAGTTTTTAGTAACGCTTTCTTAATTCTTAATGAGATCCTAAGTCTTCACAAAAAGACACTAAAGCGTTAAGTTAAACTATATCAAAAATAATCTAAAAATAAACACAGGTATATATAAATCGAGATCTTGAGAAACCAAAATTTAAATTAAAAAAAAAAAAAAGGAAAACAAATGGAAGCTCCCACTTACTCTTCTCAGAGAACATGCAAGACATACGGATACATGTTGACAAACAAAAAAAAAACATAGGGATACATATCTGCGTGCATAAATATACATAGAGAGAGATCTTACTTTTGGAGGCATAATGAAACCCTAATTCACAATGATCTTTGGTTTGTGCCAAATTTTCTTGAGGGTAACAAAAGGCCCGGGATAGTGGCAAGGAGAACCAAAATGGAGTTTTTGTTAGGGATCTGGCTACCGACCGGTTTGGATAATCTTAAACCGAGGAAGAGCTAACTAGGTACAATGGAAGTTTGTGGAATAAGGAGAAAGAGAAGAAGAAGACAAGGGAGGAAGAAAGGGAACAGGTGTATCTGCAAGAAGAAAAATGAGTTATTGCTGAGCGCATAGAGAGGGTGCAATGCATTTATGATTATCTAAAGCTCCATAAATGCTCTTGTGGGAGAAACTTACTCTTACTTGTATAAATAGACAGGAGAGATCCAGATCATATAAGTTAAAAGACAAATTTAAAAAGTTACTGTTTTTCTTTCACCTCCTGGTTTCTCAACTCTCATACACATATAAATGGGTTTCTTTGGCTTCTATACTAATTAATGTGTAAATGCATCTATTACCAACCATTCTCTAACCTCTGTACCAACAACAACACATCAGTTAGATTTACAAATGTTTATTTTTTGTCACTACGTGAATTTATGTTCTCAAAATCTAGAGTTTTTAGTTTATAGATAAATTAAGTACTCTAGTAATATAGTATATGTGTGTAAATTCATAAATGTTTTTATTGCTCAAATACTAATTGAGATTAGTCTGATAGTAATGTTTGTATTTATGTTACTACTTACTAGATACTCTTATATGCAAGAATTATCTACTCTATTAAAATATAGTCATTATTTTTATCTACTGTACAAAAGTCATTGTAGATCTATTTCATTAGTTACATATGACATAATATTTAATAAGAATATTAATAATAAATCAGTTTTAACCATTAAGTTGAATTTTATTTTTAGTTATAGCAAAATCTGTTAAGGAAAAAAACTAACAAAATCCTACTAAAATATTAAAATATATATTTGTCAAATAAAGCATTAATTAATTTCGTAATTAATAATATAATATTGTTTTAAACTAATATTAATTAAGTATTATATAAAACAAAAATAAAAACATATTATATTTTTATAAATTTTGTTATAGTCTATATTATTTTAAATAGAAGTATTATATAAATTAAATATGACAAATAATATTAAATTAGTAAATTAGCCAATTTATTTTTAAATAATTTCGTTTTCATAAATTATTATCTACCATTAAAACGGGTTAAATTTGTTAACTATGTTATTCTCTAATAAAAAATAAAGTTATTAAGATATGTTAAACTTTTGATTCTACAACTATATATTTTCACAGTATATATTTTTAAAAAGAGTGTTATTTGATTATTTCTGATTATAAAAAATATTTATGTATATTCTCCTTTTATAAGTTTTGTTATAGTCTATATTAAATTAAAATATAATTATTATATAATTTAATTATGACAAATTATATTAAATTGATAAAGTAACCTATTTATTTTTAAAATACTTTCATTCATATAAATTATTATCTCCATTAAAACGGGTTAAAGTTTGTTAACCATGTAATATTCTTATAGAAAAATAAATTTATTAATATATGCTAAACTTTATATTCTACAACTATATATTTTCAGAAAATATATTTTAAAGGAGATTTATTATTTGATTATTTCAGATTATAGATTTATTGTACCAAACTCGAAAATGTAATAACAATTAATAAAAAAGTAAAATATATAAACAAATCACAATATATTAATAATGTAATAAGAAAACTAAGCAATATAGAATTAAATAGTTACATAATATATAACACTAAATAAATTATATAACTAAAATAGTTATGATAGTAACAAAATTAAATATTTATAAAATTAAAAATCTACCCGCACAAATGTGCGGATCAATTTCTAATTTATAATATTGAAAGATGTACATGAAAATGACATATCAGCTTGGGTTCTTTCATTACAATACTTTGTTGTTAGCTAAGTCATCAATAAGTAATTTAATGTTTTATTGATCATCAATATGAGTGGTCGTAATTCTCAGTATAACTAAGAGCATTTCCAAAACACTCTTTATAATTTCAAATATGAAATTTTTGACTCTTTAAAAATGAACTCTAAAACTTTAAATTTGAAATTTTGATTAGTGAAATCTTAAATATAGAGTGTCAGTACACAAAACTTCAAATTTGAAGTTTCATATTTTATTTGCATTTTGGTCCTTACAATTACACATCATATTTATAATTCTTAAATATCTTGTTGTTTATCTTTTTTAATCCGTAAATTTCTTATCTCATAAATATTTCAAATTCTTTTATAAATTTAAATTATACATTATTATTTTTAAACATCAAATTAAGATTTAAAATATTTTAAAACTAGAACTATATATTACAAAATGTAATGTGGTATTTTTTGTAGTTTAATATTTAATTATATGTTTCTATTTATAATTTTATATTTAAGCGTAACATTTTACCAATTAATATTCTGTAATATTTTTATATATATGATAAATATTTATACAAGTTCTATGAATTTGAATTAGTTATGATAAATATAAGAACCACGGTATAAAATACAAATAGTTTTGACGTTAAGTTTGAAGTTTTTCTTTTCGAACATAAAACCTTTAAACCTCAAATATAAAGTTTTGAAAAATCTGATATAGAGATTCTTTTTTAGAGAATCTCTAAAAGAATAGTACTCCTTCCATTTCATTAAGAATGTCACCTTAACATTTTTTCGCACATATTAGAAAAACAATTTGAAATACATTTTAATTTTATTAATTAAACATATTTAGCCAATAGCGTTTGAGATAAATAAAATTATTTAGAAAATAAATGTATTTATAATTAATATTAAACATAAAATTGCATTGGAATTATAAAATGACACTATTTTGTAATAAGAAAAAAAATTAAAAATGATATTAATATGAAATAGAAAGGGTATAAAATAGATTAGATTTTGATTCTGGTTCATAGCGCGAGATTATTTATTGGTTGAAAAATGCATTTCTAATCAGTTTGTTAGTACATAATCCAGTTAAAATCGCAACAGATAAACCTAAAACCGATTAGTCATCACAAAAACTTAAAACTGAGAGTAAATCTAAGTCTTGCCCTAAATCCAACATATTGGTCTCTAACATCTGAAGGCATGATATCAAATCGATACGAGATCCTAAGACATTTCTCTCCGTTCATATCTAAGTGCTCACGGAAAATTCACTGAATTTTAAAATTTTCAAGCATCCCTTCTTAAACGAGCAACGAATATAACGATTCATCTAGAGTTAGATATGAAATGACTACTCATATTCTCCCCTCAACACTCTACGAAAGCATAAATAAAAGCTCTGAAAAACGCTAAAATTATTCGTTATATGTATGAAAAGCCGCAGAAACGGCAGGGATTCAAAGCCACCAACGGCCAGTCCTAATATAAAGTTGAAACGGCCACACCAGCCTACGTAACTTCAAATATAAAACAGCCACGCTTGGCCTAAAGCACACAAAATCATAATACATAAAGATAAGGGAACTCGTACCCACTATCCTTCAGGGATCGAGCTCGAAATTTCCAGACACGGAAGCCCAAAACGTCTTTCCAGGTTGGTCTACCTCCCCATCCTCGCCAAAGATATCGATCCAGCCTCCCCTGTATCGGGTGAAATGGGAATAGGTTTTCAAAGTTTCTCCACTCGATCGGAGGGTCCATCGAGTTGGCATGGGCACAATCTCACATCAAGCCCATCATCTTTTACAACTCAGAACGGAACAAGTAGTCATAATCTTGCATTCTCCACAAGGTACAATCGGAACTCCAACATTCATGGAAGTCACCCACGAGATCTTGTGCTTGCTTGAGCTTCTCATGTTCATTCGCAAATTGAGAAGCACGACTCCCGACAACGGCAACGATTTCTCGATTGGCTCTCTTTTCCGCATGAGGAATGGCATGGCATGCTCCTTGGAAAATTTCTGATCCCGCTCGGAATTTTTGATCTATAAACGGACAAGATGATTCTGAACCTGCTTGGGCTTGAAGCGATTAAGCTGTGCTTCCCTGTAGCTCATATCGAGGTCCGAGTTAAACACTCGCATACCCTACAAATATTTCAAAGTATTAGAAGGAAACTCGGCACCTAAAACAAACAAAGTCTAGGAAACTGACCTCGTTAATCATTAATAGGCGTCCTCCTCGAATACTTGTGTCCTCGACGGCTCATCCATGGATGGCGGAAGATCAAAGCTCTGAGGGAGCTCAGAAAATAAATCATCAAAGGCTCTACTCGGGAGAGGAATCTCCTTGGTGCCACTCCCATCGCCTAGAATGAAATATGGACCCATCCGAGCAGCGGGAGATAATCTAGAGAGAAGTCAATATCATAAAGCGCAATTCCTTTTTTCTTCAGTGAT